TTTCGGTAGATGCATGCAAAATGTCAGAATTTAACAAATAAAGACAATATTAACCAAAAAGTAACAACAATCCCAAAAAGAAGGGCAATGGCCGAGATCAAAATGCTACACTCCATCCACACCAACAGCCTGTTCCAGGGGCGGGCTGGCAATAAAAAGCAGCTTAGCAATGTGACCCTGGCGGGGGAGGGTCCCCTTGGCATATTTTCTGCCAGCTGGGGGGGGGGGAGCCTTGGTATATTGATCATCTCTTGTGATCGACGTGGAAACATGCCGAGATTGAGGGATAGGGCCCCCTAGAACAGGCCTATAGTCTGTATAATGCAGAGGTAAGGGAAGAAAGACCAGTCCTTACAAGACCGACCCACCAAGCACATTCCCGAACTCCCCCTTGGCCGTTCCTTGCTGGGCCCGTCCATAACTGCCTGGTCTTCATTTACTTCTGTATCTCCCATTGCTGAAAGGCTGTGCCAAAAGTCCATTAGTGCTTCCAGGGTGCTTGCATGTCAGCTTACGATTCTCTAGGCCCCCCCTTCCCGTTTACACGAGGTGCCATCGCCCCAGCAAAACGTGTGGGAAAACCCAACAAGTGGGCTACCTCAGATAACATGATCTTTGCTCTTTGAATAATTTGCCAAGGTCACGTTAAGGACCGGTAGTGCATTATCCTGTTCAAAATGGACTCCTGCCAGTTTTTTCATGGAGATTCTGCAAACTCAGAGTATTTTCACTGCAGAGTCACTGCACAACTCTGTGAGGTAGATTACTGAGCAATAATTAAAATAAAATAAAATGCCAACTGGTAAAACGGAAGTCGAATTTAAATTGTCCCTTAACTGTTGATATTGGGTTTTTGTAAGACAGTGTGGTGACATACTTAATTTGAGACACAGGACAGTAAACAAACTCCTACAATGAAAAAGCTTCAGGACTTTTCCTTTATGAAATTTACTGTTCAATTTCATATGACACATTAATATCATCAGATAATTCTTTTTAGATACTCTGTCCAGTAGCTTTGTAAATCTAATTATTAACTAAGAAGAAATTGTTTATCCATACTTTATGTGGGAGAAAAAAATAATTTAAATGATTAATTACTACTGCAAGAGGTTGGTGCCCCATCCTGGGTTATTCTCTGTCATGCGCCCATAACCTGCGGGATGGGCTCTGGGCCCCAGTGACCCTGCATAGGACAAGAAGGCACAGAAAATGGATGGATGGATGGACTAGTTATTATTTTTTTTCCAGGATTTAAGCATCATTTTACCTGTTATTCATTAAATATATAACATCCCCCATTTTTGTGTCATTTAGTTGAAATAAAACAAGCTGGATTCAATACAATTAGTGAGAACACAACCTAACAATATTGTTAAAGGAATATGAATCTGGATGAAAGTGAAGAGTGTCAGTACAGCAAAACTAGACTTATCCTTGTTTAATGACCAGTCTCAGCTGGTTGACAGAAGTCAAACAATTGTCTAGGAAAAATTTTAATGACATGTGTGACACATTACATTCCCATGACACTGTCAACCTTTAATTATTTACCGTCTGTCAAGGCAAACACTTGCGTATTATCTACAAATCTTTAATCTGCCATCACTTAAACTTTAACTTAAATTATGCCAGCATATGTGCTTCTGTGCTCTGTGAAAGCAGCGAGCTGGGAAAATCTAACAATGTGTTTCAAATCAGCAAAAAACACAGCAAATCAGCAAAAAAGACATGCAGCGTTTCAGATTCTCAGCTTTTCCGCAAGTGAATAACCAACGTGCATAAACAAACAGGGAATCATTTTATTGCAACATTACACAAACAACACTGTATTTCGGAGAGCTGTCTAAGTTTTTTAACTTGGGAATACTGACACTGACTTTTTGTCAATATTTTGACAATAGTCTTGACGTATTCCGCAAAGATGACTCAGAGAAAGCCCCTGGGCCCACATATAAGCTGTACTGAGGAAGGGGATGGAGAGGGGCGGGGGGGGGGGTGTGCCTTCAGCTTGGAGTCAGAAGGAAACGCAAACTCCACAGGAAGCCTTCACGGCTAAGAATAGCGACAGCGGTGATGGACTGGACGCACATTGACAGGAAATTGGACTTTCTGCTTCCACTGGGTTCCAAGATATCATCCTGCTTTTCTACGTCCATTAACCACAATAAATTACGTACTTGCTTTGCTTACATTTCCCATACAAACACTCATTTTATTGTAGCCCAAGGTAAACACCTTTTAGTAACCAGCTGTTGAACACATGCATGCCACTTTATATCATGAGGTCTCTGGATGCATAATAAACGAGCAGTAATTATTATTATTAGGTTTACTGTGGGAGTGCATTAATGAACAGGCTTGCCTAAGCTGCAGTTTAGGGGCACAGAACAGGGGCCCCTTATTTATCTTCTAGTCTAAAAAACATTTTTTTATTTGTTTGTGAATTAGTGATTTGTCAGAAGATAATGCATCTCTTTTCTACTTTTCTAGTATAAGTATGCATAGTCTGTTTCCTACGCATTGTCCATATTTTTTACCTTTTACCTTTCTATTTTACCCATTGCTACATATAATGTATTATGTTGTGTGTGTGGCTTTTTTTTGTTCTCATCACAATGATGTAAGGACATACATCAGAAATTTCCATTTTGGTCTCCTGTAATGAATTGCAAAGAGAAGTATGTATGTATGCTTTGACTTCAGACTTAAACTATAAATAATAATGTAAATGTGTCCAGTTTCTGTCCCTGTCTGAGTGCTATTCCTCTGATCTGCTTTGAGACTATTTCTACCTAGAATTTACATGAGGGCACTACAGTTTACCTTCAAACAGCTTCTCACCCGGACTGGAATGTAAAGTATGACTAAATATTGCAATGAGCTCAAAAATAGCTTCAAGTGTTTTTTTCATTATTATTATTTTTAATCAAAGTCCAGAGAAGGCTGAAATGTGCTGATGAAGTCCAGGTAGGAAAACACTGCCCTAAATGTCTCAGAGGAGTCTTGAAAAAAAATCCCAAAATTAGGGAGCCTAGGGATGAGACAAGGGACCCAAAACCAATGACTGGCTGAATCAGAGAGACTGGTAAATGACTTATAATTAATTACAGCAAATGGGCTCCTCGAGACACAGGCAAATATACGATGATGTGTAGGAGCTTCTTGAGCAAGTGTAGAAGGACATTCAGTGAAGCAGCGTTGAACTACGTCTGCATGCAGGGCTGTTTAGGCAAGGGCCCTGAGTTAGTTATTTTTAGAATTAAAAAAATAATAATAACCAGTCCTAGAAACCAGACCATTGTAAACCCACAGCTGCCATTCACATCTCTGCCTGGACAGTGATCTACCACACAAGTGCGTGAGCCCCGTAGTGGTGACGGTGGAAAAATTATATTGCACGTCTTTTCAGTACATTACGGCCGTATCGTTGGCTGGCCCCAAAGCTGCCCACAGAAAAGACTTTTGGTCATAGATCAGAAAAGATATATTTTTTGAAGGGCCTGGACTAAACACTTAGTGGATCCAGTTGCTCTGTGAATGAAGTCTTATATTTCCTTATTCGGGTTCTGTTAGCAGATGTTCAGAACCTAATACTCTCATGTTTGAAAGCCTTCTCTTTGGTCAATTTTATAATTTTTTTTTTTAAATGCACTGGCTGACGGACAGTGCAGACAGCTCTTTGTTGTGTCAGGTCTCTCGCCTCCCTGCTACGTGAGCTCAGCCCTTCCTTCTCACCCTTGCTGCAGGGTGTTTGGTGCCCCTCTACACAAAGCCAAGCTCCACAAAGGTGCCATTTTCCAAGAGATGTGCACTCCTGACTTGTCCAACAGGTTCCAGGCTATTGTGGATGCATGCCGACCACATGTTGTGGTTAAAATCAATGAATCTCTCATCTAATAAATCTCTCTTTTAGGGAAATATGATGAATATTGTACAATTTTTCTTTAAAAGGAAAAACAGAAAATATTTATTAAATACATGGGGTACACTAACTCTGTGTACACACACACTCTCTCTCTCTCCACACACACATATTTGTAATACATCTATATACTTGTCTATTTAAACTTCTGTTGCATATATGTGTGTGTGTCTGTGTATGTGTGTATAATCAAGCACGTACATCATCAGCTACTTTATCTTTTTTCAGCAGAATCTTCATTTTTAACCTGCAGTCATAATTCCTTGTAAGTCCAACATTTTCTTTTGGTTTGAAATGTTTAACCTAGATCAGTTTGGATTGTTAAAAAAAAAAACAATTTAATTGGCTTTAAAACTAAAGTATACAAATTCCATTAGACTAATATTTGGGAAATTAAAAAGTATTGCATAATGTTATTGGCAAAATGAGGGTACTTCTTCAGAAGGTGTAATTTGCAAGGTAATGAAACTGCCATTCTGCACAGACCAACGGCTGTCCCAAAAAAAAGGGGACATAATGAACTGCTCACGAGGCCTGGTCTCTTGGGATTTCAAGGTTTACACCTACAGCTACTTACTTGCAACGACCTACTAACAGGTACAAAACACTTAAAAATTAAATTCCTTTTCAGTTACCATTTGAAAGTAGTGTGGGAAAAGTTTTATTGATGATAGAGCTTTCAGGCGGTAAGAACTTAACACTGCAGCCATTTCAGCCCTGATTTAGCTAACTTTCGTGCAAAATATTAAAGAGTTTAGACAAAGCCATTTCGGCTTGGAAACAGGAACAGTAATCTAATTAGTTAAGACGTCTTTATGTTTACATTGAGATTGGAATTTTTTTTTGTTAAGCCGCTGAAAACTGACTTTATTTTATGACTCAACGTAGCGTTATTTTTTGTACCACATTTTTCACTCGTCTGTCAAACACCTCAGAGAGCCGATCACGGAAAATGCGTTTACTTTAGGGGAAAAAAAACGCAAACACGTGCCCGCCTCGATGCCGCTAGCGGCCGCATGTAAACAGGACCGAGCGGTCCGGCTCCTCCCTCCTGCCCTCCCCCAATTCCCTCCACTCCCTCTTCCCATTGAACCTATTAAGTGATAAACTCCGGGACAGAAAATGGCGACGGCGGGGAGCCGGACCTCGTCGTCGGGAATCCCAGAGTCGAATAACGGCATTACGGTCGGGAGCGCTTCTCAGGGCAACTCGGGCAGCGCCGGTTCCCAGAGCAGTCCCGGGTCAGCGAGGATCGGCGGCGGGGAAAGCGCGCAATGGAGACGCAGGGAGCTGCGCAAAGTCAGGAGCGTGGATCTGGATAAGCCCGAGTCGCTGCTGCTGTCGCCCGATAGCGGAGCGGCTCATCTGCGCTTCCTGTCCGCGTCCTCGCCTGGCGCAGTGCAGCAGCAATCGCAGCACATCCCGGGGAGCGGCTCTTTGACCGGCAGTCCGCTTTCGGACAACGCGAGTAACATTGTACCCGATGCTCAGGAATTGCTGACCACTTCTCTTAAAAACAGCTCTGATTATGGTGCCGCCGGAACTCCCGAGGAAGTAATCGCACCCCAGACCAGGTATGGCTCATATTTTGATTACTTTCTTATTTTATTGTAAATCACTTCTGGTGCTGTGCTTTAAATTGCGAATTTAGATGCATGGTGACATGCGCCAGATATTGCAACCGAGTGACTCATGCGATCGCGGGGTCGTGCGACTTTTACTGGAGCGGAGATAGAGACCAACCCCTCAGGCAGGTCTGGTTAATGCGGTCCGACGGCGATCTCAAACGGCTGGGGTCCCCCAAATCTGTCTAGATGCACTCTTCTGCCTTATGCCTACAGGAAAGTTTTGATTTTTCTTTTAAAGAGGGCTCATAGAAATGCGAAATGCCCTTTGCTTTGAACCCGGTTATGATAGTCGTGAGAACTAACCTCAGCTACTTGTTCACAGAGCATAAAAATAATTATCTGCAATCATTAGGCATTATGTCCTTTATTACTACCAGCGGGATGCATGTATGTTGTATTAATATCTACACTTACCAGTAAATTTTATTTATTACTTTAACCGGGTACCCAGTGGTGTGCCAAACTCCAAGAACTCAATTTTAGCACTTTTTAACTGTTTTACGTTTAGATTCATTTACCGTTATTTAGATTTAGACTGTCGGTTTGAAGTCCCTCTGTCATATTACATATTTCAGGGCCACAAATGACTGCGATCCAAACGTGGGATGTTTTGAATTGAGTTCGATTGAACTGTTACCTCTAAATTAGTGTAATACGTGGTAAAATGATTGTTAACTTTTGTAAAAATTTAGTGTTACGTTTCGCCTTGACAAACCAAGTTGTACGAAAGGTTTTATTTTAATGACAGATGCTGAGTAAACTACAAGCTTGCTACTTTGTTTAGCTGTTTTATCAAAGTTTTTACAAAGTTTTTGTGCTTTAAAGCCATTGAGGATGCACCTTATTGCACTAATGCTTACAAATCATTTACTGATGTGACTGTCCCTATTTTTACCATGAAGATCGCAAACTAAGGTGTAGCCTTGGTACTTAAGTTTATAGTAGACTATGATAATGCTTAAGACAGTGTTTTCCTTAGCCTTAAACCTTGAATAAGTATTTTTAAATTATTAATCTGGACAGATCCATTTGATGCTGTGAGTGTAACTCTTTCCTTCAATAGGTCATAACAAAATAGCAGTAAGTTGTGTTTTTGAGTGTACTTTATGATTAAAATGGTTTATTCTGTGTAGTTCTGTCTGAAATTAAACGACTAAGTTATATCTAAGCGTTTTCTCAACTGTCAAAGTAACAATCATTGTACAGTATTGGCTAAAACCGACATTTTCTAGTTTACACACAACAGCGGATATATGTTGTTTTATGTTGGTATGAAAATGCACTTGAAGTTATTTTCCCTCCTTTTGTTTCTTCATTTAAATCCAGCATTTTGTTGATTAAAACTTGTGAATAGTTTTGAAATCCTGTTTTTTCATGAGTGTGTAGTGTAAACTTGACAGTGAATCACAATGGATTCTATGTTTCTTGAGTCATTTATCATGTCAGTCACCCCAATTATCCATCAGCTGCTCATTCAAAGAAACTATATATGTAATCCTCACTGCACTCATATGTTTGTTTTTTTTTTTTTTCTTATTTCATTTTAAGGAGTAGAATGGGCCATTTTTTGCCATTATTGATATTTTACATCTGCAAGATTTTCAGTTGGTCACATCAGTCTTGTTGTCCATTGTGGCAGGAATCTTGATAGATCTTGTTTGTTAGATGCAGTGGGTTTTAGTATAAGGAAATATACAGTAGATGAAGTGCTGTTCACAATAAAATGCATTAAAAGTCAGTACTCACCTACTGTGTAAATATTAAAGAAGTGTGACACTGCATTTAAATTTGTTTTTATTTTAAATATTTCAACAAGGTGCTCTTCTTTATAAAGGCATAGACGCCCCAGAATGCCTCAAAAATACATTTTTTCTATGCCGTACATATTTATTTTTACACCATTTAGCCCGGTGTTTTCTTGTTACGTGTATTTGAGATTTGTTAGTCCCGCTGTCGCACGCCGGTCTATTTCAAAGGGGCTATAAGCAAACTGGGAATTTGACTGGGATTCCCGTAGTTGTTGAAGCGTCGCTCCGGGGGATGATTAACGCTGTCGTGTGAAGAGCCAAACAGTCCCTCTCAGGTTTGCTGACAGCTCTGCAGAAGAGAAACCTCACAAAGAAAAGGCATCCGGTGTAACGCGAGACGCCGACTTTGTAGGCGTGCAGATAATGGTGGGATGAATGGGATGCTGGAGGTGCAGAAATGGGATGAGGGGGGTAGGAGGTGGTGGTTGGGTGGGGGGGGCACATTCCTCTGTGGTTTTGCTTGTTGTTGGTGACATGCAGCGCAGTTCGCTGCTATTCTGTGTCCACGGAGGTAGACTTCTGATGTGAATGTAGGTAGGTAGAGGACATCAGAGTTTTACAGCAATGAATAGAATAATTTTGTCCTATGATTTCCAGTGCATGTGTGATTATACAGTTTGATGTTTTTTGTAGTCAAAATTAATATTTGTTTATTTATGTTGGTTGTTTGTGTAAAAAAAAATAAAATAATACAAAGCACACAGGCACTGCAGACGCCACTGTAAGGCACAATATTATGAATGATGACAACTGTAAAAAGAATTATAATGAAAACTAACGATAATAATAAGGAGATGGGTATGTATATGTATCACTGTAAGGCACAATAATATGAAGGATGACATCAATAATAAGGACAGTAATGATATTAATAATCGCAAATGAAGGCAGTATGTACATGCCCAGTCAAGTCGAAATAGCGGTGCAGCTTCCGATCTGCCTTTTATCCGCTCCAGGTGATTATGGAAGAATGAGAAAAGAGAAACAGGCGGAAGGAGAGGACTAAAGAAGGAGTGTATAGACTCATGGGAGAAAGACCCTATTTCCTAAATACTGCTTGAGATTATTCACTTGCTTCTGTTATTCTTTCTGTTTGCTTTCTAGCTGATTGGTGTCTAATTCAAGGTTGCACTTTTTCCAGTGCATTCTGGGATTGATTGTCTGTATAGAGAAACAAACCCTCAAACTGATGGCTGGAATTAAGGAAAAACCCAGCTAATGGCCAACAAGAATGATCTGAATCGCAGCATCAAAATGAATTATCACTTATTCTGCCCTTTTAAGTGGGCAAGTTTGTGACTGCTATGGTACAAAGCATTGAAGAAGTTGCTTCTGAGTGTGACTTTGCACTTGGCCTAAATGAAAGAGGACCCTTTCATGGGAAATGGCTGGTATTTAATATTCATGTTGCAGACCCTGGTTGACCCTTTGAATGCATGTTCAAAAAAACACAGGGAAACTAATGATAACTTTTCAGCCTAGTTACCATACTCAAAGCTGTACCAGTTGCCTGATTGCAAACATTCAATAGTTGGGGGAGGGAAGTTGTCTCTGTAGTGAGTGAATGATTCTTTTTAGGCTTTTAATACGTGTTTTTCTTTGGGGTATCTGTGGAAGTGGCCAATATTTGTGGTGAACAATTCATGCTACGCATTACATGGATTCTGTTAGGAAGAGACAGACATCAGCTAAACACATTTCACTTGTGTGGTGTCTTTTTTTTATGCAGAAAGGGAGAAAAATCTTTGCCTGTTTCTGTATGCAGTAGACTCTCCAAATCCAGTGTAATTAAACAGATCAGGGAGAACTCCGCATTCAGCACAAAACTGTAAGGGTTCAGTGGTTTCAAGTGCTCAGTGTTGCATCTTCAGCCTTTTATTTACAAACTGAAGCACTTTTGCTTTCACTGCAGAGCCCAGTACTGCTGGTTGATATTGGCAGCCTTCGGTGGATCCTGGATTTCTGTCTGAGTGTGTGACAGTTCTCAATTTTTAACTGTACGTAGAGTCCCTGCCTCCTTGGTTAGGCTAAAAAGATTAACCACGTAATCGTCAGAAGGTTCGCTCCGAGTTTCGGCACGGCTGAAGTTCACCTGATACGCCCACCCTGGTTCAGTGGCGCATTCCTGAGTCTGCCCCCATTGTGTGGTTTCAAGGTCTGAGGTGACCCCCCCCCCCCCCCATTCCTAGGGATTTAGCAATGCGCTGCAGTTTTCAGTTCATAGCTCGTAAAGGCGAATCGGATGAGGAAGCCCTTTTTTGGGTGAGCGGTCAGCGAGTGGCTCCACCTGCCCGACGGCGTCTCTCCTTCGCAGGCATCGTTCTCTGGCTGAAGCTGGGTGGCTCCGGCCAGAAAAGCCTCCTCAAAATATGGGATTAAGACAAAGATGCATTCATGCTGCTAAGCCTGAGTGTTTTTAACTGTTGAAAGGAGTGCATTGAAATTACAGAAGCATAACTGCATTCCTTTGTGCACTCATACACTCCCTGCATTGTCCGCCGCTATTTACTGTTTAGCGTATGCATTTTATGCTTAATATCACCAGATTAACTCCTGCCAGTTGCATCTTGTCTGACTTCAAATGACAGTTATCCTGTTGTCCTTTGTGTAATCATAGTAACCATAGCATTCAGGTGTCCCATCATTTTGCCGGCAAAATCCCGTATGACCTCTGCAGGCTAAAACTTCACACCCCCCAGGTGTGAAATGTGCACATTTTGCCATTTGAATGTCTAGCGTCTTCTGTGCTCATCCATAGAAAAATACATTTGCAGCACTCCGTCGCAGCCAATGTGACAGGTGTGTGTCCACATCTCTCATGCTGTGTTCAGGTTTGACTTTGGGTTGACCGGGTACTCTCTCTGGGACTATACATGCATCCATTCACCTTCCAAGTTCTAATCCAGTACTGAGTCTTGGGGGGGGGGGGGTATCCCAGGCAACATGAGACACAAGGGAGGGGGACACAGGGTAGTGTGCAGATAACCTGCGTCCCTGTCCAGATGGCCGTGAGTTCAAATCCGTAGCCATTAGGGTGATCGTATCACTTGGGCCCTTGAGCAAGGCCTTTAATCCCAACCGCTCCATGGGCGCTGCCTGACTGCGCTCTCTGACCCCCATGTGTACGTCGCTTTGGAC